TTTTTATTTGGATGTTCTATGTCAAGAATTTAAACGACTTTTGAGATTGATATCTCGAAAAAGAGATTCCTATATCACATACTCTCATATATATACATCACCTTAAGCTGGATCTTAGTTTTACAAACCCAGTCAAATTGAAAAACAGACCATTATCCTGCATCTAGCATACATGCACATGGACTTCAACTTATGCATCCTTATGAGCCATATGTAAGCCTGAATCGCTCTGTCAGGTAGTCCCCACTGCGTATAGGAGGAAATCTGCATTCACAAACAAGTATAGTTATCTCTAATCCTTGATCATATAAAACCATTACAACTTCGAAGAAAAGATTTGAAAAAGCATTGCTTGCAATATAAGGAAAGACAAGTAGCACAAAAAAAACACGAGGAAAGGCTGGTTAGGGTTTTGGAAAACAACTAGAAACAAGCTACAACTTTGAGCTTTTGTTCCAATTTTCTTCATAGGTTTATGTTTTTATTCTACACATTCAAATATTTTTCTGCCTGAGAGAAATTTGAAATCACGGAGGTAAGACAAGAAGGGGAATTTTAGGAAATGGCTGCAGTGAAAAAAAAAAAAAAAAGACAGTTTCACAGAACAGCTCCTTGCAGTGAACCAACCTAACCCTTCACCTCTGAACCAGCCTAACTGTTCATCGTCTTCCTCAATTCGACATTAATTACATTTGAAACATCACGTCAGGAACAATAACAACGAGTGGAAGGAGTTTTATGTACCATTTGGTGCATATAAATAAATGATTGTAAAGCTAAAGAAGGTATGTAATTTTTCAACATGAATTTCAAATAATATCTCTCTCTTAATCTATTACTTTCTTTCTCCTATCTTCTCTGCTATCTTTCTCTTTTTCCCTTTATTTCTCTCTCTACAGTGTTTATCTCTTTAAAACAAGTCTCTCTCCCTCTCTCTCTCCAAAATACTCTCTCTTTCCCTGTCTAAACACTCCTCTCTCTCTCTCTCCCTCAAACTCTCTTCTTCTCTCTTCCCCGACTTCATCTCTCTCTCAAACTCTTTTTCTCTCTTTCCCCGAAATCTTTTCTTCTCTCTTTCAAATATCTTCTTTTTTCTTTTCTGAAATTCCTATTCTGTCCTCTCTATTTCTTTAATTTCAGAATCTACCCCAACCTTTTAAATTTCTCAAAGTTATCCACAAATATTTAAACTCCATATTTTTCCAAATTCTAGTTTGGGTGAATCTCATGCCCAAAGCAAGTCCTGACAACTTGGTAGCTGCAGCAGCTCGATTATGACGAAACTCTTGCAAACTTCATAAGCATGGTGAAAAATATGGGTAAAACTACAGTGTCTGAATCGCATAAGATACAAACTCTTGAGGAAAATATACATTAGATGGATAAAAAATTCTAGAATTTTAGATCCAAAATGTATGAATCATAACAACAAACCCGAGCCATAGTAGACCAATAACAACTGGAAAGGCTCACCGAAATCTTGTAAAGCAGTATGCGAATTAGTGAAACAACCGGTCGGGTAAGTCCCTCTACCTCTAATTTAAATATTGATAGAGGAATATTACCGAACCCAAAAATCAAGGAAATTGGGATTGGTAATTTGGATCAAAGAGGCAACCAAACCGGTAATCCTATCCCAAAGACTAGCATTCCTATTTTTGATAGACAAAATCCTAGAACATAGATAAGACGATGCAATAAATATTTTCATGTTTTCAACATCTCGTAAGAAAGGAAAGTGGAAACAACATCATTGTGTTTTAGAGACAAGGTAGAAATATGGTTTCATGGGTTAACAAATGACCCAAATATGTTTGAATAAGAAGTATTCGAGGTGGAATGTGTAGGCGATTTGGAGGTCTAGTATCAAAAAAAATTTGAAGAAATGAGGTCTCTGTTATTAATGAAGAATCCTAAACTTTCTGAAAAATATTTCATCTCCAGTTTTATAAGTGGTATGAAGGATGAACTTCGACCAACGGTAAAGATGCATAGGCCGCACACCTTGATTCAAGCATTTGAGTTGGCTTTATGACAAGAACAAGCAGTAGATGCCATCAACCGACACAAAAAGCTAAAACACTCTATAACTTATTCTAAAGTTAGCGTTTCCATCACTGAAACTTCTGCTAAAATTCAGAAGTTTCAAGAAAAAACACCCTTAAAGAATTTAAATCATACGGAATTGAAGAGGAATAATCTTAGTTACAGATGTGGGGAAAAATATTCTCCAGGACATCAGTGTAATGAAAAAGCAGTCATGGCAATAGAGACATGTGAGGAAGAAAAACGAAAAAATAAAAAGGATCAATCTCTAGATAGCAAACAAAAGAATAATGCAACATATCCACATGGAGTTCTTTTGTAGTATAATAATTATATATACAATATAAATGTCTATATAATATACTATAATATGTAGTAATAATATCATTTGACACAAATATTTTAAAGTTGTAACCTTGAGGGCAAAGTTAATTCTCAAGGGGAGGGAATTGTTACGAAATGGCTGCAGTGAAAAGAAAAAGATAAAATTTCACAGAACGGTTCCTCACAGAGAACCAGCCTAACCCTTCATCTCTGAACCAGCCCAACTGTTCATCTTCTTCCTCCATCCGATGCCAATTACAATGGAAATATCACTTCAGCAACAATAACAACGATTGGAAGGAATTTTATGCACCATTTGGTGTCTATAAATAACTGATTGTAAAGATAAAGAAGGCATGTAATTTTTCGACATGGATTTCAAATAATATCTTTCTCTTTTCTTCTCTGCTATCTTTTTCTTTTCCCTTTATTTCTCTCTCTAACAGCTTCTTTCTCTCTCTACAGTCTATTTCTCTCTAAAATCAGTCTCTCTCTCTCTCTCTAAAATACTCTCTTTCTCATCTCTGTATTCTCTCTCTCTTTCTGTAACACCAAAACTTTCCTTTTTTTATTATTAATTATTATTGTATGAATATAATTATTATTTATGTAATTTTAAATTGAATTGAATTTAATTTATTTTATTTTAATAGAAATAATAATAATAAAAATGGGTAAAAATTGTTTAAAAATTTAATTGAAAACAATTTTGGGAAAAATGAGTGAAAATTTGGGTTCTCTGAGTATTTTTGAAAGAAAAATCGGAAACTAAAGGTCAAAACGCAATTTAGAAAAGTTGTGCCATGTTAGCCGCCCGGTCAGCAGCCCCGGCCAACCAGGACGTACCGGGTGGCAGAGATGCTGACGCAGGAGGCCATGCGGGAAGGAGTCACGTGGGCGATTCGCGTGCATGCGATCTTAACGGCTGAGATACGTTCTCGCGCGCACGGACGGCTCAGATCAAACGCTGATGAGTATAAATAACCTCATCCGCACCCAAACCCTAACCCTATCCGCTAGAGCCCCTCGCCGGAGAAGACAGCCCAGCCGCCGGGGAGCCAAACGCCGTCACCCGCTGCCGCATCGGAGCAATTTCCGACCGCCAAACGAGGTAAAAATTCTACCATTTATTCAGAATTTGATTCTAAACCCATCTATGACCAGATCGGAGAGAAAGCACTGGCTAATTGGCCGAAAAACGCCGCAGAAACTTAGTGGCGCCACCGCAGGGTGTTTCGGTTTTCGCCTCCGATGAGACCCTTCCCGATTCCCGTTCGATGTGATTTTTTCACCGTTATGATCATCGTTTCCTCCTCTACAGGTTGACCGGAGCAAAACACCAAACCGCAACGTGAGCCCGATGAGCCGCCGCACTGAAGAGCCCCACCACCGATGAGTTTCAGTTTTCTACGTTTTTCCAGTCCACCAAGGGGCCTAAATGTGTTTTCTCACAGGAACCGATGCAAGTTTGGTTGAATTCGGCCGAAAACGATCAAAAACAGCCAACCTGAGGCAGATTGCCGCTGCGGGCGGTGGCGCCGTCGCCGGAGCATGGCAGAGCTGCCGTGCCGGAATTCTGAAATTGGCCGAGTAGGCCCTGGGTATGAATTTTTGGTTATTTGGGACATGTGTAGGTACCGTAAGCGCGTTTCAGTTCCCAAGGAAAAATTCAGGAAACTCAAGAACCGCCCGTAGGCGCACTAACGATCTAGTTTTCAGCGTTTAATCAAGTAAGTACCCCTCACCCTATTTCCTATCATAGATGTGATGTTTGAAAAAATAGTAATACTGTATTTTGTATAAATTAAATAGATATGCATAATTAATTATGATTGCTAATGGAGTCCGAACCAGACATTATTTTCTGTCGATTCCTGTTTGATTTATTTTACAGTTTAAATGCATTATAGTATCTGATCTATCTATTCTACGGTTTTAAATGCATGTATCACTGCTTACTTTATTACTGTTTGATTTTGGAAATCTAAGATATGCTTGCTTTGTTGGATGCACGTTACTTGTTTATGTATTTATGTTTGAGTTGGTAATGGAGACTAATGAAAAATAGGAATGGGATGTTATTTGATAAATAGACAAGATGACAGCCTCACTAGATATCCTGAAAGATGGTGGACAGACCGGTTTTATAGGGAACCCTACCGTGAACGTTGTCTCATACCGGACGGGGTATGGAAACTTGGTCATTTGGCACTCATACCAGACGGGGTATGGAGACGGCCCGCTTCACCCTCATACCGGACGGGGTATTGAGGTTTATTATTTTGGCGCTCATACCGAACGGGGTATGGAGACGACCCTGAAATTAAGATTGTTAAGGGAAATGGTTCACGTGTAGCGGGGATCCCTATGCATCCCCATGGATACTAGTAGGCTGGTGAAAATGAGAAACGGTGATAATCAGTTATTATTAATGAATACGGATTTATGATGTGTTTTATGTTACTGATTATATATGAAATTGTGATCTGTATGATATTATTGTCTTTATAAATTGTTTTCACAAGTTTTCCAAAGATAAGAAAAATGGTTAATGGTTTTATTTCAAATAAATGTATTGCTTAAAATTTGTGGCTCTATTGGGTTGTTTTTAATTTTTTTACCAACCCTTTATTTCTGTAGCGGTGATATAGTGTGATGTCCTTACTGAGATAGTGTAGTTCATTCTTTATTTAACCATTCAGATTAGGAGGACCTGGTTCCCGAGCCCGATCCATAAGAAGACGGCGAGTAAATATTAGATACTTTATAGTTTTCTTTATTTTCTCATTTCTCGTATTTCTTTTAGAGAACTTATTCTGTGATAGTGTTTAATACTTTTAAATTATTGTGTAAGGGATGTTAATTTTAATCTTTTATTTCGCTTCCGCATCCAGATTATTATATATATTTTCTTTCCAATTTTCGGAATCGTTACACTTTCTCTCTTTAAACACTCCTCTCTCTCTCTCTCTCTCTCTCCCTCAAACTCTCTTCTTCTATCTTCCCTGACTTCATATCTCTTTCAAACTCGTTTTTTCTCTCCCTCCAACACCTTCCCTCTCTCTTTCAAAAATCTTCTTTTTTCTTTTTTGAAATTCCCATTCTGTCCTCTCTATTTCTTTAATTTCAGAATCTACCCCAACCTTTTAAATTTCTCAAAGTTACCCACAAATATTTAAACTCCATATTATTCCAAATTCTGGTTTTGGTGAATCTCATGCCCAAGGCAAGTCCTGACAAGGAAGGACAGAAAGAAATTGGTAAGTAAGCAGGCTTTGTTTGCACGATTGTTACACTTCCAACTACAATCTCTCATTTTAAGGGCAACCATAATATGTCTATGATCCCTTCAAAGAGAAAACATATATGTCCATGACCCCTAGGTATTCCATCGAGTCACATGAATATCTGGTCATCGGTTTTGTTTTATTCAGCAGGAAAACTATGAAGTAACTCGTCTTGTGAAAGTTGACTGAAAATAAACAATTCACATGAGTTTACCTTGGGGGACATGATTCACTGCAACAACTTTCCAAGCATTCCACTAAACAGTCTTCCTTAGGATCTAAAAACAATGCCACCTGAAATATTGCAATTTAAAAACTCGGTAACAGAAAAAATATAAGGCCAACCTCAACAAAAGTAAAATGACACAAGAAACTTCGAAATGGATGTTCTTGTTTGTTCATGAAAAGCAGCATAGGCCAAATTACTTCCTTTGAAGCCATTTGAAACATTTATCCATTTTGTTTAACATTTAAATTGCCTCAAAATTTCAAGTAACCGGTTTATGTAGGAGAACCATTTCCACCAAGCAAATCTTGGCATCATTAAAATAAACAGAAATTTCCCCCCTGAAAGAGGAACATGCCACCTGACCTACGAAGTCATTTGAATCTTATTCCCACTTCCAGTTTGAATATCAATTTTCTTTTTTTACAGAAAAAAAAAAAAAAAGAGAAAGGAACAGCAACAGTAACAGAAACAGCAAAGGGAAATAGGCTGGTGTTTAACAATGGACTATCTTAAGCTGGTTTTAACAATGGACAGATCTTTCAGAAGCAGGCCAGCAGTCAGCTAACTCTAGTATAAAAGATTCTGCAAAGAAATCAAATATGTAGTCAATTTATTGAGGTTCACCGCTAAAATGGTGCTTGGGATTGTTGAAAGAAATATAGTTAAAGCATCAGTATACTTGAAGTTACATAATCCAGGTAAATGTTTAGTTTAAAAATAAGTAATCATGTATTAGTGCTGCTTGTAAAACATAAGCAGTAGTTCTTGGTAAAAAAAGAAAAGAAAGCTTACAAAATCTATATATTACAATAAGGTATCACAGTCAAGAACCTAATAAGCACCATACATTTATGTTAAAAAGTGCATAATTAAAGGTATTTAAAGCTACTCGTAAGCAGCAAATCGACAATTCTATACACCCTCTAATATATTCTGTGTTTAATTTACAAGTCTAATGTTTCTTCTTGATAAAGTTATAGATTTACTGCTTTAAGAAGAGCAAATCCAGCATACCATCAGGAAACGCAAATCCTATACATTGTATATTACCTTGCAATAATACTGAAAGTTATAAAACAAAATGGAAACACAAAACAGAAAAGAAATAAATGGCTACCGAGAGACGCTCTTGTCCTGCTGGCATCACTCTATGCAGTGTTGACCTACAAGTAGATAACAGCGGAGCACAAGTTCAGGGTTAGAAATCTACATAATAAAGAACATAGTTTGAAACTTAAACATCGACACTGATTTTAGTAAGAAAAAGAAAAAAAGAAGAAAACTTTCAACTCATATGTTTTCTAACAAGAAAAACCACAGTAAATTACCGAAACAAGCAATTGGTCCACCTCTCCATCATATCTCCCATGTTTACAATAAAGGCCCTGTTATTGATTCAAGAAAAAACCAATAAAGGCCTGTTAGATTATAACCAACAGTAATGAGGCTGGGAAAAAAAGAATATACACCTAAAAACCAAGTTGGGGCTGCTACTACTTATTATGATGTGTGAACAGCAATACAGATGCTCTGCCCAGAAACCACTCTCCACAATTATTCTAGAAAGCTCAGAAAGTAGTATACTAAGTAACTAAAAAATCAAAGCATGTTAATCACATTCATTATACAACTATTGCTTTCCTCATTAAACTTTTCCAAGAAAAATGTAATAAGTTGCTTAACCAATGAGTGCTAGTTTGGCCAAACTGATGCTTGTGCTGTTATCAGTTAAAAACATTGTAAGAATATCTTATAATTGAAGTTCATTTTAGGTGAAAACAATATAGCCTCAGGAAAAAAAAAATGCAAAAAGTGTTGTCAATGTAAAATGTAGGAGGTACTATTTTTTATTAATCAGGATGTAGAAGTAGGGTTAGATGTCAGAATCACCAAGCATGATACAACAATAAAAATAACTATTACAAATAATCTAAATTTTATTATGAATATTTTCTTTAAATTTCTTTTCTCTGAATAACGACTTTTTCAAAATATTGTGATGATGCAAAATTTACTTTAATTCTCAATTTTTTGCGTCATTTTTAATAATGGTTGAATAATTTATTATAAAATGGTAAATTCCTTATGATAAAAGTAGAATTGTACCTTATTTAAAAAAAGAATACATTGAGTATACCAATCAATAAAGGTAATATTGATGAAAAATATTTATTAAAGATAATATCCTTATTTAAGCACATTCTACACGAAGTATCTATTTTTGTTTCTGATGTTACCTTTATCAAAAGCCAATTTTGGATTTTTCTTTTTAATTAAGATCGTTTCTATTTTTAAATATTCGTTCAAACTTTACTTTCTTACAACAAAAGCACTAATGCCAAACAAAATCTAAGAGTTTCCATCAAAAGACTCTTCCCTCCTTACACCAGAGAGCTTTTGTTCAGGAAAATATTGGACAAATTAGACTCACCCAGTTATACTAGGGACATCTTCCCAGGCTCGTGGTTGTTTGAACTTCTCCCTGCAAACCTATAAGCAGTATAAACCTAAGAAATAACAAAAATTAACCACATCAAGGATGATAGCTAAGGATTGCAGTAAAAAAATCAAACATGCCTGAAGTCCTTGAACACCATTAGTTGCAAGAAGGGTTATCATTCCGTAATCTGAATGAGCAGAAGCACCATAGATTTCTTCATCAGAAGAGTTCAATTCACCTGAAATCAGAAATAAGGGTTCCCCTTTTTAATAAAAATAATTAAGAGGCACATGGTCAATTGGATAGAAGCCCCACCAGATGACTGATTGCAACTTGCCACCTTCCCCTTGAAATTTGTCTTATAATCTACATCAATAGATTCTAATATTCTAATATTCTAATATAAGCTTCAGAAACGGAATGTTACGAGAAAAGAAAAGAATCAACTTGGATTTTAAGATTAGCACACTGAGATGGAATAATATCATAGGGATTAGAATACTTTTTGGAAAATATAGGAATGACAAAAACAAGCATCCTCTTTATCTTTACTCTTTTCAAGAAAAAACTTTTATGTTCATTTATTTACATTAAGAACCAGCCTCAGAATTCATTTCCAACATCCTAGTGGAACCTCAGAGGCCAGTATCAATCACTGGTTGTCATACTATAGAGGTAAGGTAAGTCAGTTCTCTTTTATAAGCATTAAAAAAAGGAGCAAACATTACCTTCCAATATACTTCCTGTTCTCCATTACGATACCTGCTAAAATTGCTCAGCAATTGGAGTCTATTCAATGCCATTTTTTATGGGGAGATGAGGAGGGATTCCGAAAATATCACCTTGTTAATTGGGGTGACATCAAGAAACCTGTTGAACATGGGTGCCCTGGAATAAAATCGCTTACTAATCTAAATACTGCTCTTAGGGTGAAATGGTTATGGAGATTCCTCAAAGATGAAGATAGACTATGGAGAAAGGTTATTATGGCAAAATGGAGAAATACTCCGGACAGAGAGGGGCCTGGCAGAACAAGGAGAAACCACAGTCTTGGTCTGTGGAGGAAAATTTTGATGGATTGGCACAAGTTCCAGAATTGTATTGAATGGAGCATTGGTTGTGGCGATAAAATCAGATTTTGGAAAGATGTTTGGATTGAAGGGGGCTGTCTCATGAGCTGTTTCCCAAGATTATTTGAGATAGCCCAATCTAGAAATATGGTGGTCAAGGAGGCGTATCGGGAGCACAATGGCATCAGGTGTTGGGAAGTGAATGTTTGCAGAAATTTGAACGATTGGGAAGTCCAGGATTACCAGAATTTGTTATGTATTCTGGAAGTCCAGAAACTGAACAATTCTGCTGACTGTTTGAAATGGAGGCTGAATCAAAATGGGGTGTTTTCTGCTAAGTCTTATTACTACTACATCAGGGGTGAATGGGGTGACAGAACCTGTAACTTTCCAGCAAAACAGATTTGGAATTCTAGAGTTACTCCTGGGATTGGTTTCTTTGCATGGGAGGCAGCTAGGGGATGTATTTTGACACAAGATAAATTAGCCTCGAGGGGTCATTCTATTGTCAACAGGTTTTACATGTGGTTGTCAGCTGAGAAGACCTGTAATCATCTTCTTTCGCAGTGCCCTGTGGCTTATGAACTATGCAGCATGGTGTATGGACTTCTGGGGCTAAATTGGGTAGTGGCTGGTACAGTCAAAGAAGAAATATGGGCATGGAGTGGGTTCAAGCTTGAAAATGATTGCAACAATTTGATTCCTCTCACGATGATGTGGATCATCTGGAAACAAAGAAACCTTAGAGTTTTTGAGGGAAGGGAAAATCTGGTGAATGGATTGAGGCGGTTTCATTTTTTTGGGAATATGTTATTGAGGCGTGACATGATGAGTGGAGTAGATTTTGGGATTGTCATTGATACCCTTACTATAATGTAAATTTACTGTACATGGGCAGTACCTCTTTTGGTACTAGGTTTATAATACCACATTAGCACTTTTTATTTAAAAAAAAAAGAGCAAAAATTGATGCAAAAGATGTTTAATTAGGTTTCCTGAATACATTGGCAATTGTATTCAATCAAATCTACCATTGGTTGCAATATTATATGGTTTCATAAATAGATCAACAGTTATATCTTTCCCAAATCTACTACTGGTTGTAACTATATGGGTCAGATTCAAAAATTGAAGCAAAAGATGTTTAATTAGGTTTCCTGAATACATTGACAATTGTATTCAATCAAATCTACCATTGGTTGCAATATTATATGGTTTCATAAATAGATCAACAGTTATATCTTTCCCAAATCTACTACTGGTTGTAACTATATGGGTCAGATTAGCATTTTTATCAGCACTATGAACTTATGCATGATTTAAAGTTCTTTTAAGTTTCCTATCAAGATTTCTAGTGATAACTAAATTAGGACTAAGAGTCTATTAATAAGTGTATGTCTTTCAAGAGAATACTGCAGTCATTGAGGGAATTGCACAATATTTTGTAGTTTGCAATGCAACCAAGCCTTAAATATGATACTTAAGGAATTCTCTTGTTAGGGTGATATCTAGGGAAATAATTCATAAACTGTTCCACATCAATTGGCAAATGAGTAAACTTGAAAAAAACACCAAAATAAGCTGATGCCAACAAAGATTTTGAGATTGCTTGGGATCTTAACCCAAAAAAATGTACAAAGGCTTAGCTCAAGGATGAATGTGGGGCATAAATTTGTCGATTTATAGATTTCGTCTTTCCTGCAAGATTTCCTGTTCCTTTCCTGTTGTGTTGCTTTATTATTTTCAGTTTAGTGAGGATATGCAGTTGCAAAGTTTGCCAGTAATTTTTGGCATGTCCACAAGATCGTGCTTTTTGGGAAATACAGGATTCAGCACCATTAGGATTTCATTTAGGGTTTAAATTTTTTCTTTACATTTCTTATTACGATTTCTACTCATAAGTAGATTATAATTAAGTTAAAGGTCAAAAATGCAGGTAATTTATAATTTAGAAAATACAGCCATTATTTGGAGAATTTTACAATGATATGCTTTGTGATTATACGAGGCAACCAAACCTGAAGATACTAGGAGTGATATCTAAGAAAACCTAGGTACAGTACCTAAATTTGGCCTCTTACCTCTAAGTAGACCAACAGTCCCTAATCTGTCTTACACTATCTATGGCCCAAACCCCCTCCCTATTGGTGTAGAGAGACAGTGAGAGATTAAGCTTTATAAGAGAAAACTTCTGTTATAATCCTTATATAGGATCTAGTTATGGGATTTTGTTAACAGTATGAGCTCGTTAAGAGAGGACCCAACGATCTCTTAGAGTTTGAAGTACTCAAGAAACTTTGTTGATAAAATTTTCAGCATAAAACTAAACAGCAACGTCATAAGGTTTTTTACTTCATGAAGAAGAAGCAACTAGAAGCGGTAAATCTGGAAGTTGATTCCAGACAGCCAACTTCCCCCCTTGTTTTCTCCCTATTTTTATCCTAACATCAACCCCACTTAATACATCATACCTACTGCAGTCCCTCTATCTATTTAATAAATCTATACATAATACAACACATAAACACACACAAAACATAAAATATTGCACATGCATAGTGTAACAACTCCGAAAATTCAAAATAAAATTTATAATAATTTAAGCACGAAAGCGAAATAAGAAGTTAAGATTTACATCCCTTACACAATAACTTAAAAATACTAAACAAACATCACGAAATGAATTCTTTTAAAAAAACACAAAAAATGATAAAAGTAAATGAAAATATAAAATATTTAACATCTACTCGCAGTCTTCTTACGGATTGGGCTCGGGAACCAAATTCTCTTGATATGAAATGATTAAATAAGGAATGAGCTACACTACCCCAATAAGAACATCACACTATATCACCGGCACAAAAGCAAAAGTTGGTAGAAAATAAAAATACAACCAATGAAGCACTAAATTTAGCAAATTCGTTTATCAATCGTAAAATCATTTACAGTTCACTTATCATTGTGGATATCCCCGCTACACGTGAACCCTTTCCCTTAACAGTTTTAATTACATAGTCGACCCCATACCTCGTCCGGTATAAGCACCAAGACATTAAACCTCAATACTCTGTCCAGTATGAGGGTGAAGTGGGCCGTCCCCACACCCCGTCCGGTATGAACGTCAAATTATTAAGTCTCCATACCCCGTCCGGTTTGAGACAACGTTCACGGTAGGGTTCCCTATGAACCCGGTCCGTCCACCATCTCTCAGGATATCTAATGAGGTTGTCATTTTATCTGTTTATTAGATCACATCCATTTCCTATTTTCTCTTAGTCTCTGTTACCAAATCAAACATAATTACTTAAACAAATAAACATGTATCCGGCCATGCAATCAGATCTTATATCCCAAAATCAAACAGTAGTCAAGTAAGGCAATAATACATGCATTTAAATAATAAAATAAATAAACCAGAAACCATCATACTTTTATATTGCAAGATCAATCAACAGAGAATAATGTCCGCTTCGGGCTCCATTAGCACTCCGTAATTAATTATGCACATCCATTTAATTTGTACAAAAGACCGCATTATTCTTTATTCAAACTTCAAATCTATGATAGGAAATAGGGTGAGGGGTCTTTACTTGATTTGACGCCGGAAAACTAAATGATTTACTACGCCTATGGACGGTCTCTAAGTTTTCTAAATTTTTCTTCGAGAACTGAAACGCGCTTACGGTACCTACAAATGTCCCAAATAACCCAAAAATCAGTCTCAGGGCCTACTCGGCCAATTTTGGAAATTCGGCACGGCGGCTCTGCCACGCACCCACAACGGTGCCATTGCTTGCGGCAGCGATCCGCTTTGGGTTAGTTGTTTTCGGCCGAATTTAGCCAAATTTGCATCAATTCCTGCGAGAAAACACACTTAGAACCCTCGGTTGGCCGAAAAAACCTAGAAAACCGAAACTTACCGGCAGCAGAGCTCTCTAGTGCAGCAGCTCCTCCGGCTTACGTTGTGGTTGGGTGTTTTGCTCCGATCAACCTGTAGATAAAACGGTGGTGAAAAAATTACACGAAACGGGAATCGGAAAGGGCCTCATCGGAGGCGGTTTGTGAAATTTTCCATGGTGGCATTTTCCGACCAATTGGCCGGTTCTTTCACTCCGATTTGGCCACGAGTTGGTTTAAAATTGAATTTCGTGTAAGAAGAAAATTTTTTACCTTTTTTGGCAGTCGGAAAAGATTCTGGTGCGACGGCAGGTGGCGGCGATCGACTCCCCGGCGGCTGGGCTGTCTTCTCCGGCGAGGGGTTCTGGTGGCTAGGGTTAGGGTTTGGGTACGAATTGGGTTATTTATACCCATCCGCTTTTGATCTGCACCGTCCGATCGCGATTAAATAAGGAGTGAATCTGGGCTATCCATCGCGATTCAATTTGAGCCGTCCGTACGCGATTCAATATGAGTCATCCGTGCGCGATTCAATCTGGGCCGTCTATGCGCGCGGGAACGGACCTCAGCCATTCGATCGCGCGCACGCGGATCGCCCATGTGGCTCCCCCCACGTGGCTCCCCCGCGTGTGGCCTCCCGCGTCAGCGCCTCTGCCACCTGGTGCGTCCTAGTTGGTCGGGGCTGCTGATCGGACATCCGACGTGACGCAATTTTTTTAAATCGCATTTTGACCCCCAATTTTCGATTTTTCTTTCAAAAATACCCTCAAAACTCAAATTTTTACCCCTTTTTTTTAAAAATTATTTTCAATTTAATCTTTAACAAATTTTTACCTTTTTTTTCATTAAATTAAAATAAAATAAGTTAAAATAAATTGAATAAATAATAATTATATTAAAAATAAGAAAAAATAAAATGTTGGGTGTTACACACAGAACATGGACCTATTCACTAATTACAGAATTATTTTAGACCTAATTACCATTATCTAAATACCACTAAGATACATACCAAAACACAAAAACCATAACAACAACACCACGGAGTTGGAGATTATTCCAATATTCGTTCTTCCTTTCCTTCTCAATATACAATTGATCATAAATATTTAGTATAAAATATTGTAATAGCATAAGACTCCTTCCTGAGTCTCAAAGAGGAAACACTTCAGCTGTTCATTAAGTTCCTAACCACATATTGTTCATAATACACCACCAACTAAAAAAAGCAATAAAACAAAAGATGGTAAAAGAAAAAAAGAAGATAAATAACTGAAGTGCTTCACTATACCTGGATAGTGTAAAAGACGAAGAAATGCTGCAGGTTCATCCAAGGCTCCCACTTCCTCAAAGAAATTTTCATGTACATTAAGAGCCAGAGCAATTAAATGCATCAATCTCTTACCAGCAGAACTGAGACAGCAAAAAAAAAGACCAAGCATGATTAACCTGTCATGTCACTTTTCACAACAAATGCCCAACATGCAAAAAATGAGACATACTAAGATCCAGTAAATCAAATTAGCTGCTAGATAAATTGCCATTGTGCCCAGACTTCAAACTTCCCATTCAAAGAACGTTAAGCACGAAAATAAAAGGACTGCAAAATTCAGTGGAAAAAGGAAACACTATGCATTGAGTGAACATCATATCTCATGCAAGAAAAATGGTTGTGGTATATGATGGCGCATAGTCATCATAGGATTTTATTTATTATTGGAGTATTTTGAGTTTATTTTAAGAGTTTTATTAGAGTTAAGAGTTCACTTTTATTAGTATTATTTTTTATTTGTATTATAATTAGTATTCTTAATTATATTATATTATTATTTGTTAACTAGAATATTTCATTACTCTATTAGTCGAGATATTTTTCCTTTATATCTTCCTTATAATGATGTAATTAATTAGTAGAATCAATTAAAATATCTATAATAATGTAAATTTCCTTATTCGTAGATAGGAATCCTATATATTTCAGTTATAATATTACAAGTGATATGAGAAAATAAAAAATAAATATTTCTCCAAAAATCTACATGATATTAGAGTCAAGATAAGACTGTTTTAGATATTTAATTTCAAAATTTTTTCTGAAACCTAAAATACCACAATAGGTTGAGTTGGTACCCATCTATTAAAATTTACTCTCACCATCACCCCAAATCGAATTGTAACCTCACCATCGGCCTACCCCTCGACTCCGGTGATTGTTTACAGAGCGTGCGAGTCACATGCGTCGCCAGCAGCAGAAGCGCATGAGCCACACGCACCTCCTAGAAAAGCCCGAATCTGGCCGCACCACTACCAGAAAATCCCAATTGGGACATATTTGGCCTTGTTGCACACAATCCAGCTTAAATCGCGCCTCTCCAAACTTGCCTTCACTCAGCTGCCGCGGTTCCGACGATCTGCCAATTTGAGCGTTCCACCATGTTCCCCCTCTCATGGATACAACCAGATTTGGACCTTCCGTGCACTGAGCTACTCCAATCTAGTCCGTCCGCTCGTTAAGCTGAGCCGCCTTTTGCCGTTGCTTCCTTGCTGAACTGGTTTGTTTTCGATCACCAACTTTGGGCTCACAACTTATTTCCCTTTTTCGATCTAATCATGTTGTTCCCAACTCTGTTAGTGCTTATTAGAAGATTTGTTCTATCCCTGTGAGATTAGTCTTTTCTCTATTATTTTAAACCATGACAAAAGCAAAGAGATTGGTTATTTCTAGTTTAGATAATTCTTGATCAACTATTAGTGCATCAAATATGATAAAATCAGGTATTATTTATCTTTCTGTTATCTTCAATTTTAATTCTTGAATCATAAATTTTAGAGTTAACAGATACACGACAGACACTTGTAAAGACTTCCTAACCTATTTTCCTTGGATTAAATAAGAAAACATCCGTATACCAAATAGATCATATACCTCTGACAGTCTTTTATTCATTAGTGTTCTCATAAGAAATCTTAATTATGAAATTAAATTTTTTTCCTTATTATTATATTTTTTAGAATCTTCAAACAAGAAAGAGAATTGACACTGATAGACTGCAAGTGAGCTTATATGTCTTTTTTTAGATAAAAAAGATATTATTCACAAGGTGCCAAAGAGAACACCACCCATATACAAAACCTTTACAATTGTGTTTAAGTGTCAATGACATGCCCAAAATCTTCCATCCTAATAATGTCATGATCTAACAAGATACATCCAAAATAATGTAACCATTTATTTTTAAACCTACTGTTCTCTGCATCTTTGCTCTCAAAGGCCATACTATTTTTTTCTTTCCATAAGAAAACAGTCAAAGGAATAATTTTTGCACAAACTATTTCTTTACATAACCCATCCCAAGCCCACACCTCATCCCTAACCAAACCAGTCCTAACCCAATTAATGCCCAATAAATCATATATCACACACCAAAGGCCATGAGCATAGGACACTGACGTAAAATGTGGTTGCAAGACTCCGCATCAGTCATGCATAAGTAACATTTGTTTGTCATAATCATACCCTTCTCATCAACTTATCAATAGTCAAAATGTTTTCTCTACAGGCCTCCCATGCAAAAAAAGTCATTCTAGGAGGAGCAAAATTTTTCTAGATTTGAGAGACTGGGAATAGGGCACTCTTGCACTAATCGGCCCCCCATAATATGAGTATAGAACGATTTAACAGAAAACTCATACCTCTCACCCAGTTTCCATACAATTCTGTTACAGCAAGTATCCATCTATAGTGTTTACATGGTGTTGAAAAGAGATTCATATTTGTTTACCTCCCTATTATTCAAATGTATGTCTTGTATAAAAGTCAAAGTGTAATTGAGAATTAAGCAACATTTAGGAAAACAGAGGTCAATCAGGAAATTCTACAGTTGCATCGACGGTTAGAACATCCTTCTTTCTTTACTTTAAAAAAATTATATCACAATTTGTTTAAAAGAACTTCAATAGATTCCTTTTTTTGTGATGCATGTGAACTAACTTAACATAAAAAAAATTCTTATTATGTGAGTAACCATAGAAGTCCTACTAATTTTATGATTATTCACTCAAATGTTTGGAAATCTACTTAAAAAATCTCTTAATCTGGTCATAAATGGTTTGATATTTTTATTAATTGTTGTACTAGATTAATATACATTATATATTGAAAGCAAAAAGTGATGTTTGAAAACCTACCAATTTTATAACTATTCATTCTAATGTTTGAGAATCTACTTAAAAAAATTTTTAATCTGGTCGTAAATGATTTGATACTTTTATTGATTGTTGTGCTAAATTAATATAGATTTATCTATTAAAAGCAAAAAGTGATATGTTCTCATACTTTCAATTATTTCATAAAATGATATGTACACAGTTTGATATTAAAATTAAGATACTAATAACAGACAACGGTACATAATATATGAATTGTGGATTCTGTACCTACGTAGAGCTTAATGAGATAATCCATCAGACGAGTTGTACGTACACTAGTGAACAAAATGATGTTACTGAAAGAAAAAACAGACTCATAGTGGAGGTAGCTCGATTTTTTATGTTCACCATGAATTTACCTAAAATTTCTAAGGAGATTCGGTTCTTTTAGTCATTTATCTTATCAACAGAATATTTTTTAAAACACTTAATTTTATAAGTCCTTTAGAGGTTTTGTAAGGAAAAAAATTTATATATTGTTCTCCCTAAGGCGTTTGCATAGGTTTGTTTTGTCCATATTAGAAATATGGGCAAGTTGGAACCCGAGACTCTTAAGTGTGTATTTGTTGGCTATTTTTCTACTAAAAAATATCATATATATTATCATCCTCTATTTAGAAAATACTTTATAACTATGAATGTAACTTTTAAAGAATCCAAACATTATTTCAGTTCAAGCCCAACACCTCTTTAGTGGAGAATGAGAAGGAAGAGATTATACTCAATTTGTTGACTCTTGACAATCATAGTCCCAGAGGAGAGTTCTAACTCGAAAGGTCTCATTTAAGAAGGTAATGTTGGGCACCTGAATAGACTAGACCTGAACGGATATTCAAGGATGAATAAGACAGAGAAAGTGTTGATTTTGACAAAAAAAATATAATTTTATTTCTCACATTTTAAATTGTTATACTTAAAGTATTTATAAAATTTCTAACCTAGAAATAGGAAAATTCTTATTTTACTAAAATTCTAATTATATAAGATTATTATTCTCATAGAGCTATAATTACATATAATAAACTAAAATAATTAAATAATAAGATATGTTACTCAACAGAAAGCCATGAACCATCGTGCAATCTGCCCTAGATTAAAAATCTTCCATAATTCCTAAATGTACTGGTAAGCTACCTTTACTTTATGATTTATATGATGATATGGATAAACCTATTACTCTTAAAAGATAAATCAGGTTTTGCACTGAGCACTCTATGTCTATTTTTGTTTGTTATGACTCTTTATCTCTCTTTTATAGAGCATTTATTTTATCTGTTTCCTTTATATGTGTTCTACAAGATTTGAGAGAAGCTTTACAGGATCCCAAATGGAAAGAGNNGAAAAGATGATATGATGGGTTTCAAGCCGATAGAGTCTCCTATGAAAGTATCATAGACTACAAGTGAGAATTGATACATCAGTAAACTTGGGGAGATATCAAAGATTGGTTGAAAGAATTATTTATCTCTCACATACCAGATCTAATATAACATATGCAGTTAACTTAGTAAATCAGTACATGCATGATCCTTGCGAGCTTCATTTACATGTCATTTTCCGCATATTATGATATTTAAATCTGTATTAGGAAAATGTCTGCTCTTCTTAAAAATTTATTACTGTAAAATAGAAACATTTATATATGCTAATTGGGCTGAATCTCTAGATGATAGGAAATCAACTACTGGTTATTGCACACTCGTAGGAGGCAACCTGATTACTAGAAAAAACAAGACACATAATATAGTTGTTCGTTCCAGTGCTGAAGTAGAATATAGAATAATGACCCAAGAAATATGTGAATTATTATGATTGTAAAAACTAATAAAAGAATTAAAACTGTTCAAAGAAAAAAGTTTATCCTTATTTGGTGATAATAAAGCAGTCATTAACATTGTCCATAATCCAATTCAACATGAATGAACAAAGTACTTGAGATTGATCAACACTTCATAAAATAGAAAGTTGTCGATAGCTCCTTATACCTCTATCTCTATCATGTGCTTTTTAGTGGAAAGATGGCAGATGTCTTCACTAAAAGACTTTATAAAAAATCTTTTCATAACTTGTTTGCAAGTTAGACATGTATAATATTTTTGTACCAACTTGAGGGGGAGTGTTGATTATAATATTCCGTTACACCATTAATCAAGATACTTGTCATTTATAATATTTCTTATAATGATATAATTAATTAGTAGAATCAATTACAATCCCTACAATAATGTAAATTTCCTTATTTATATATACAAATGCTGTATATATCCTGATTGTAATATTACAAATGATATGAGAAAAAAAATAAATAAATATTTGTTTTCCAAAAATCTATATTATTTCCTATTTAATTCTAGTTAGAAAAAGTTATTTAGAGATTATTATAAATAACTTTACAACTTCAGTCATTAATCATTCAAGTATTTAATAAAAAATTTTTGAGAATATAATTGATTATGTGATTCAATCAACCCTTAGGTGAGATGCCTAAAAATCCTAGATTTGGTTACTAGGTTTTTTCACCAACTTCTTAGTAGGCAAATTAATCCTAATTTGTCCTACATCAGGTAAATACTAGGAAATTTCTCAAAACACTAGCATGGAGGCTGTGGAACATAAAGATGAATACATGAGGATTACATTGAAATACAGTGGATCATCATCTGTTCAGGCATTTTCTCTAAGCTAAAAACCATGCAATGGGAACATGCATCTCAACTCCATGGAGAATTAGTACTTACAGGACTTTTTTATAGTAAGATTCCATAGAGGGTCTCCATGATGGAAGAAGTTCTGGAATTACCAAGTCATAACAGTTACAAAATCAATTGTTTTAACCACAGATAAAAAATTTCATGTAAAATAAGGAAGTGCAGCTCAAACAATGAAAAATGAATCAAGAAATTTAGGAAAATAATATCATTATTAAATACTTTTTAAAATCATCATTGTTCAAAACCCATCCATAAACATCCAAAAGTTATGCTATAAAAACAATAAAAGCAAGAAAACAACCAGGCACACAAATTAATGATACCTTCTGACGGCCATTGATTCAGGTTGCTCTGAGCTTTAGCACCTCCTAAAGGACCAATGTTAAAACTCTCCTTTGAGTCACCTGTTTTACAGCCAGTCAAAATGATCAATTCCGACTCCATCTTCTATGTCCATAATGTTGAACTATGAATGAATTAACAACATAGCAAAGGATCTTGTTATATGCATTGCAGTTCCTTCCTATGAAAAGTCATAGACTGATAAAGCAAAATACAACATAAACCATGAAGGTCCAGAAGCATCTTGACTAACAAACAAATATATTCCTGATTCATCCACTCGCAAATTAGCCTATCAATTGGACAGCACTCTTATTTTACTAGCTTCAGTAGCACCTGAATAAAACTCGGAGTTAAAACAAGATATTAGAAGAGCAACAAGTGAGAATGATGGGCTCACAAAACCTTTCGAAATTGAAGAGGGATCAAGGTTTTCTGCATATAATGGCGCGTAACCCCTGTTTTCTCTACGCAACAATTTCATCTTCTCTTCCAAGGGGAGTAAGAAGAATTTCCTACTCTCCTCAAAAACTTTCTCAAGCAAACCTTCTTCAACACCATGATTCACGAGATAGAAGAAACCATATTTGGTACATGCCTGAGGAGATAATTCACAAAGGAGATTTGGCTCTTGTCAAAATAAGGCAATATATCACTTCCGAAGAGAAAAGACAACTTATAATATTTTTGATAATAAAGCTAGACAATATAAAACTAGTATCTTGTCTCATTCTCCTACTCTTTCTGGAGAATCAATGACTATTTATAACTATTACCTTAACACCAAATAAGAGTTCAACCTAATGCTTTATTTTTGTCCTAATTGATCCTGATTTGACATTAGAAGTATATTGATTTTTCTCCAATAACCAAATACTTTTGTCTGTAAATACTGCAATTTTGATTCCATCTATAAAACCATTTTCTTCCCTATGAGTTTTAGTCTAAATAAAAATGTTAGTTCTTAGTATTATATTTCATTTAAGATGAATAGCTTGAAGTTAAGTGGAGATGCAATGCGGTCACCATGTCAAGAAACTAGTGTGAGAGGTAAAATCAATCTTCCACTAGAAGTTTCATGTGATGAAATCAAATTTCCTCTTTTCGTTCTCTTTTTTATTTTTTCTGTTTGAGAAATCTCTTATCCTCCATCCCTGTACTTTCCTCTTCTTTCTTTCCAAACATACTTCTTTTAGTTAAAAAAGAAATTGAGTTAATTGTCTGATTAATACTCCAGTATTAAATTTCTCAAAGAATTTTTTTTTTTTTTTGAATAATTAAATTTCTCAAATAAACTAGAAAGCTTCGGGATTGCAATCAGTTATTCTCAAAAAACTAGACAGCGTTATATACTGGTTGTATAGGTCATTACAACACATAAACTTATGCACATTTGACACCATAAACAGCGTCAATTCGTCTTGATACAGTCCTGAGCTGAATCATGACTCAAAGGCCGGCTTCCCTCAACAAATTGGAAGAACAAAAGAAAAAAGTTGAAGTCCAACCGTTTCTATGTGAAGGACGAATGTCTAGTTTTCAAAATTTTCCGCTTAAGGCATGTGGAAACGAGGGAAACAGATAGCACTGATCATCATAGATTGAAATTACTGCACATATTGAAAAACCTATAAGAAAAAGGGACACAAGGGAAAGAGAAAAAAGAACCTGACGGATGGAGTTGGCGGTGAAGATACGGTCCGGCGAGGACAGGTCAATGATTGGGAGTTTCAGAGTTTCCGTCATTTCGCTTGACCACCTGCTACTCCAAGCTCGAATTTAGCGGTAAAAAATCCTCTTCGGTTTAATCAGTCTATGGTAGTACTGCACAAACGAGTGGAAACGGTTTTTCTGATTACGACATGATGGATCGGGTACTGACCCGCATCCATTTTAGAAGGAGGCCCGGCCCGTCACAGTTAACCTCGTTAACAGTCCGGGAACTAGGATAGGTGGGGATTAAAGGAAAATTATTGTTGCATAAAAAGAGCATTTAGAACAGAATTGAATAAAAATTAAATAATTTAATAAAGTTTTTAAAACAAAGATTAGAACTATTTTATTTTTTAAAAATAAATTATGTACATGACATATAAACATACATGTTTATTTAAATCGAAACCAATTGAGATATTTTGATTTATTTGATTCATACTTCTGAATTGAGAATTAAATTAGTAATGACAGAAATCTAATCATATGAATTGTCACCTTTGAGCCCACCGGCATAATATAATATGAGTCCATGTAGAGCTTTGCCATCTCCCTCTATACGGAATGGAAGTTCTCTTTTGCAGTTGTCGTATCTTGTAGGTGAAGACAACAAAATGATTTGGAGTGTTGAGCTACTTGGTTGTTCATGGACTTGGAAAAGAGAGGAGAGACTATGAGATAGAGTCGAGAATGACAAGATGAACAAATTCAAATATTTTTATTTGGAATTATTTATTTATTTATTTTTTATTATAAAAATTGAAATGTTAGCAAAAACAGAGTGAGAAAAAATAATAATGATAGAAAAATAATAATTTTTTTTTACGCTAAATACATCTGTCTATTTCTTAATAAAATTAATATTTTTAAAAAAATAATAAATATTGAAAGATTAAATTATAATAAAAAAAATAATTAAAATAAAAATAAAATATAAATAATAGTTCAATATACTAAATTAGGTGTTTATTATTTTATATATTATAATTTTAATTAAAAATTTAAAATAAATAAAATATCAAATATTTTTATAAATTTAAATAAAAAATCATCAGATATATTTATCGTAGAGTAAAATTAATTTTACTTTTATATTTAAAATATTCAATACAAACGCTTTATACATTTATAAACTTAATTTTATTTTTTATTTTTTTAAGTGGTACTTTGAATAACTTTATTAAACCAAGAAAGCTATTACAAGAAAAAGTAAGGTGTTGTATTCCATCAAACAACCTTGCTAAAAGTATACAACTGCGTAGAATATTTAAAAGAAATATGATATATACTCAAAACACTCTTGTATTAATAAAAATGTGCAAATAAGTCATTGAACTTTTTTTTTTAGCTGAAATAAGCCTTGCACTTGTAATTTTTTGTCCATATTGGCTCTCACTTTTAGGAGTAGTTATAACCCTATTACCTTGATGTCCATGTGTACTCTGACTTCTTCATCACACTCATAGTTTCACAACAACCAAATTCTTAACAATTTTATCCTTTAAACCATGTGTCACTCTCACATGTTGACTCTTTTTTTTTTCCTTTTCCTTCTTGGAGCCAATCAGTTGTGATTTCTCTTTTATGAACCCTAACCTTTCCTTACTGGCTCTTTGCTCGTACTGCTTCACCTTGACATCCTCTTTGGCTTTCTTCTCTATTCCTCTTCCTTCATAACAGCCGTATCCAGCAAGCAACAAGGCACCAAATCCCTCCATAAGAACTTCTTCAAATTCCTAGAAGCCCCAATCATCCGACAGTATCTTCATATCTTCCTTAAAGCTCTAGAAAAACATGTGCTTTACCAGAGATTATTGCAACCGCTCACTCATCATTGGCAATCACAACATCTTTAGTAGTCTAACAAAGATTGAGGTCATAGGAAACACTATTGTCGTTGCTGGCTGAGGAGAGGGACTCTAACTCGAAACCCAATAACATCGAAGACATTTGAGTGGAGGGAAAGTCAAAGAGAGAAGGGAAGTTTCATGATGTTGGATTTGATCTCCCAAACACAGCTCTTGTTTCTCTAAAAAGTCAGAGAAATTAGATAAAGGTAACTACACCTAACTAAGGGTGGTAGACACTCGTCTACCATGCTGATAAGTGTTTTAAACATTGAGGCCCACAAAGCCACACCATTTACAACGCGAGTATCAAAGTGATAAGATTATAATTGTAGTTAAGAGCAAGGGACAATATTGACAAAATTTAAAGATACAAAGTCTTATTTCAACAAAAGAAATGTATAAAACCTTGTTTGAACAATTTTCATTAATACAGTGGTAATTTGAATATATATCCTTAAAAGAAATGTACTCGCAGAGTCACCTTAAAAATTAAAACTGTTCTAAGATCTATAAACTCTCCTTCAGAAATTACAGGATATGTTCAAAAAGACATATAAACCAAAACTATAAACCTCATGACTAATACAAACTCTAACTCAGTTTCTCCATGAAAAGGAAAACAAAATTCTCATGTTCAACACAAACAAAAATTCAATAGTTGATCAGCATGTAAGTTTGTTCACAATAGAACTGATTGATTCTCTCTGTTAGAGGTCGAGATGCAATCATCTACCACTCTTATGTACGCAATGAACATGACTTGAGCTTTTAAAAGTAAACAGCAGTTATGACTATGACCAAACACAATTATAGTAACTCTTCCCCGTCCACAATCAAGCCTAACAATTCAGTTTAGAAAATACTGACTTTGCATGACAATAATATTACAACACAATCTGCTAATGTTTCCTCTCCATTTATAAAGAAACTACAAGAGCAGAGATAACAAAAAGGAAGCTGAAAGTGAGGTTGTATTATAACTGCGATGAACCGTTTGTTCAGGGTCACCAATGTAAATGGTTGTTCTACCTAGAGACTGAATGTGATACTGGTCCTGAGCAATAAGAAAAAATCAACGAGCCAACTATATCCATATTTCAAGCTTGAGAACAAACTTAAAGACCATAAAGGGGGTAATGTTATAGATGCATTTATAAGACCTAAATAAGATGTTAAAATTCAATTAAATATGAAATTTTTATTAGTATTAGATTGCTAAATAGTAAATATGAAATCTTAGTTAGTATTATATTCATAAATAGCATATGATTTTTTATTAATATCAAATTCCTAAATAGTATAAAATTTTTAATATTTTAATAAAATACTTCTAATTATATTTAAATTTTTAATTAAATTAACATTTCTAAATAAAAATTGTAACCTATATAAAAAAAATATTTATTATTAATAATATTATGTTAGAATATTATTTTAAACTATAAGATTGAAATTTTCTCTAATAAGATCGAGATGACAACTTCATTTGATGAGATATAATCTATTTTCATAAAATAAATTCAATGAATCGCAACAAAAGTCAAACGCGATTGAAGTTTCTCATCTTTTCTTCGCTGATAACACATTTATATTTTGCCACCCAGATATCAAGAATCTGTTACACCTTCGATGTATCCTTCATTGTTTTCAGGTTGCATCGAGGCTGAAAATAAACCTTTAAAATCAAAGCTTGCTAGAACAGGGAGTAATGGGGATGACATCGAATATGCCAAGGTTTGGGGTACAAGGCATTGATGTTTCCTATGAAATATTCGGAAGTTCCTTTGGGGGCTAAATTTAAAGATAATTATACCTGGGAATCGGTTATTGAAATGTTTGAAAATAAACTTGCAGGTTGGAGAAGGAATTTCCTATCAAAGGGAGGCAGCTTAACTATAATCAAAAGCACTATGTCCAATCTCTCTATTTACCACCTTTCGACACTCACAATCCCCAAAGAAATTGGAAAGAAATTAGAAGCTATTCAATGTAGATTTCTATAGGGTGATGAAGATGAAAAAAGGAAGTACCATTTAGTTAACTGGGAGAAGGTTAAAAAACCGATTCATAGTGGTGGTTTGGGGATAAGATCTCTTGTCAACATGAATTTGACACTTTAAGGAAAATGATTATGCAAGTTTTTGAATGAAGATTACAAGTTGTGGAGAAAAATTGTGTTTGTCCGCTGGGGTGATCTGAATGCGGTATGCTCTGGGGTCAGCTCTAGGCCTCATGGACGAGGCTTGTGGAAGAATATTATGAAACAATGGTCGAAGTTCTATAGTTGTATTAAATGGAACATGGGGAAAGAGAATAAAATCAATTTCTGGTGTGACAAATGGATTGGTGATGACAGCTTGCAGAACAAGTTTCCCATAATTTTTGAGATTGCCTATTCAAAATCGATGTTGGTGGCTAATGCATATCGGATTTGCATGATTGTGTCGAATGGTCTATTAGAGTGAATAGACACTTAAATGACTGAAAAATTCAAGAGTTCGAAGAACTTTTGGCGCTTTTGGAGAAGCAGAATGTGAAAGAGGGTTCAAATCAGGTCTCCTGGAAGTTAGAAAAAAGGAAAAAAATTTATGTCCAATCATACTACAAAATGCTGTTTGGTGGGGATGGGGATGACAGTTGGGATTTCCCTTTTAAGCAAATTTGGAATTCTAAAGTTCCTCATAGAGCGGTTTTTTTTGCTTGGGAAGCAAGCAAGAAAAGTATTCTCACTATTGACAAATTAAAAAGGAGGGGGCAGGTTATTGTTAATAGATGCTACCTTTGTATGTGTGCAGAGGAAACTTGCAATCACTTACTTTTATGGTGCCCTCCTATAGTTTGTGGTGTATAATTTAAGGGCTGCTAGGGATTAACTGAGTTATGGCTGGGATGTTAGGGATGAAATTTGGGCTTGAGATTAGCTTAAAATCAATGGTAATGTTTCTACTTTGGTTCCATTGACCGTTTTTTGCGTTTTTGCGAAAGAAAGAAATGCAAGAGCATTTGAGGGGAAAGAAGTAAGGTTGTATTAATTAAGACATAGGTGGTTTAATTATTTTGGGATAACCTTGTTGGGACATGATATGATGAGTGAGAAGGATTTTGGGATTGTCATTGATATGCTAACTACATTATAAATTTTTTATAAATGAGTTGGTATCTTTTTTATTTTTGGTACCATGCTAATATACTAATACATTTTTATTTTTTAAAAAAAGAAAAACAAATTTTGAAACAGAT